GTCTCAAACTCCTGACCTTGTGATCCACCTGCCTCAGCCTCCCAAAGTGCTGGGATTACAGGCGTGAGCTACCACACCCAGCCAATTTAAAAGAAAAAATAGTCTGTTGGGGTGTGACATTGAATTTGTATTGGTCTCAGACATTCGTATATGCTATTTGCATGAAGAGGTTTATTTTTATTGTTGATTGTGTTTTCAACTTGCAAGTCTTAAAAGTCGTCATGAGAAAATTTGGAGCCAGCCTACATTTGGATGAAGTTGGAAGAATACTATGAGATGCTAAGAAATGGCTAGTAGAGGAGCTAGAGGAAAGATTCAGTTTCCCTTATCCCTGCAACCATCCCTATTATATCATCCTTTAAAATATATATATTATGTACAGTAATTAACAAAGTTTTTATAAAGGGAAGGTGTTAATAAATGTTAGAATGCATATAGAGTGGATTTTTTTTGTTTGTTTGTTTTTGAGACAGAGTCTCAGTCCCAGGCTGGAGTGCCCGGCTAATTTTTTGTATTTTTAGTAGAGACAGGGTTTCTCCATGCCTGCTCTGGCTGATCTTGAACTCCCAACCTCAGTAATCTGCCTACCTCGGCCTCCCAAAATGCTGAGGTTACAGGTGTGAGCCACTGCACCCGGCCCTGACACGTGTACTCTTTTAAGATACAAATTTTGGGAAAACGATCCAAGATGGCCAATCGCTAACATCCCGGGATTGCAGCTCTCAGGGAAGGCACGGAGAACTAGAGGACGCCACACTTTCAGACAAAGTCTGGTCGCTCACGGAGCAGAAGATCCCCCAGTGGTGGAAACACACGAGTCGCCAGCGCAACTCTCGTGGTCGGCGCAGCGGTTCCGCCAGCACCTGGACGCGGCAGCACTCGGCGCAGAGTAAACAGGACCGGTTCCCCTTCTGACCGAGGTTTGGAGCCCCGGGAAGGCAGAGTCGCCTACTACCGACACAAGAAGGAAGCCCGACAGGAGAATCCTGGGCAGAAAAGCACCATCAGTTTTAATGCCGCTGCTCTGGCCCTGGGAACTAACAACCTGGACGTCCACTCAAGAGACCTAATCTGAAAGTTGGTAATTTCAAAGATGACAGGAGGATAAATTTACAATGACGGGAAGAAACCAGCGTAAAAAAGCTGAGAATACTCAAAGTCAGAACGCCTCTCCCTCTAAAGATGATCACAGTTCCACATCAAAAATGGAACAAGGCTTGATGGAGAACGAGCGCCTCCTGATGACAGAATCACTCTTCAAGGAATGGATAATAACAAACTTCGGTGAGTTAAAAGAACATGTTGTAGCCCAACATAAAGAAACTAGGAACTTTGAAAAAAGGTTTGATGAAATCCTATTGAGAATAGACAACTTAGAGAGGAGTATGAGTGAATTAATGGAACTGAAGAATACAATACAGGAACTCCGAGAAGTATGCACAGGTTTAAACACTCGAATTGTTCAAGCAGAAGAATGGATATCAGAGGTCAAAGTCCAACTTAATGAAATAAAACGTGAAGAAAAGACTAGAGAAAAAAGGATAAAAAGGAATGAGCAAAGTCTCCAAGAAATGTGGGACTATGTGAAAAGACCAAATTTACGTTTGATAGGTGTACCTGAATGCGACGGAGAGAATGAATCCAAGCTGGAAAATACCCTTCAGGATATTATTCAGGAAAATTTTCCTAAACTAGCAAAGCAGGTCAACATTCAACCCCAGGTAATATCGAGAACACCACAAAGATATTCCTCAAGAAGGGCAACCCCAAGGCACATAATCGTTAGATTCACCAGGGTTGAAACGAAGGAGAGGATACTAAGGGCAGCCAGAGAGAGAGGTCAGGTTACCCACAAAGGCAAGCCTGTCAGACTTACAGCAGATCTCTCAGCAGAAACTCTACAGGCCAGAAGAGAGTGTGGGCCAATATTCAACATCCTCAAAGAACAGAACCTTCAGCCCAGAATTTCATATCCAGCCAAACTAAGCTTCACAACTGAAGGAAAAATAAAATCTTTTATGAACAAGCAAGAACTCAGAGATTTTATTACCACCAGGCCTGCTTTACAAGAGCTTCTGAAAGAAGCATTACACACAGAAAGAAACAACCAGTATTAGCCTTTCTAAAAATACACCAAAAAGTAAAGAGCACCAACATAAAGAAGAATTTACACCAACAAATGGATAAAACAGCCAGTCAACATCAAATGGCAGTAACCCTAAATTTAAATTGACTGAATTCCCAATCAAAAGACACAGCCAAAACCCAACGGCATGTTACATCCAGACCTGTTTCACATGCAAGGATACACAAAGACTCAAAGGGATGGAGAAAGATTTACCAACCAAATGGAGAGCAAAAATAAATAATAAATAAATAAAAAGCAGGAGTTGCAATTCTTGTATCGGAGAAAATAGATTTTAAAGCAACAAAGATATAGTGGTAAAAGGATCAATGCAACAACAAGAGCTAACGATCCTAACACCCAGATAGGAGACTTAGATTCAATGAGACAGAAAATTAATAAGGATATCAAGGACTCGAACTCAGATCCAGAACAAGTAAACTTAATAAATATTTATAGAGCTCTCCACTTCAAATCCACAAAATATACATTCTTGTCAATACCACATCACACCCACCCATTAGTTTAAATGAAACATTGATTGGCCATTATTAATACCCAATTTTTTTCAAAATAAAGCAATATTTCCATTTACTCTCCCTCTTTCTCTTCCTCTTTCTTCCTCTCCTTTACTTATTTTTTTTTTTCTTTCCTTCTCTCAAAAAAAAAAAGAAATCAACTTGTAAACCTCTAGATCCAGGTCGGCAATGTCTCTTTCATTGCTTGATTTCCTTTCTTCCCTTCCCTCCCTCCCTCCCTCCCCGCTTCCTCCCTTCCTTCCTTCATCCCTTCCTTCCACCCTACCGTCCTTATTCCCTTCCTTCCTGCCTTCCTCCCCCCCCAAAAAAAAAAAAAAAGATACAAATTTTAATCCCATGACAGTGCATGCAAAAATATATATATACACACACACATACGCACACACACAAATTTTAAATAACACTGGGTTAAAAGTAGATATAAAAGATTGACAACTAGAAACAAAGTTGAATAAATTTTTAAAAATTGTTAGAATTTTAAAACTTGTAAGAAAAAGATGAAAGGAAGACTCTTATTAGAAATGTAGATTATGGCCGAGCGTGTTGGCTTACGCCTGTAATCTCAGCACTTTGGGTGGCTAAGGCGGGTGGATCACGAGGTCAAAAGATCAAGACCATCCTGGCCAACATGGTGAAACCCTGTCTCTACTAAAAATACAAAAAATTAACTGGGCATGGTGGCGCACGCGTGTGGTCCCAGCTACTTGGGAGGCTGAGGCAGGAGAATCACTTGAACCCGGGAGGCAGAGGTTGCAGTGAGCGAGGCTCTGTCTCAAAAAAAGAAGGAAGGAGGGGAGGGAGGGATTTTGAAGGAATCTTGGATAAAATTCAGTAGGTTAGTACCCAGCAAAAGCTGCTGGAATGTTAGCTAGGTGTAGACACCCCTGAAAGACCGGATGTGGTGGCCACATGCTAGCTTCTTAAAGTGTAGACACCTCTAAAGACTATGTGGTGGCCAGTTGCTTTTTGTCTTCACCTTTCCAGTTAACAGATGGAGTAGACTTGTAATTCAAATGGATATGCAGTCAAGAGGGAAGAGCAAGTACCTGGCTTATTAAGCACAAACTGCCTGACCTTAGAAATTATTGATAGACCTTCCTTTCTTTCTTTTTTTCTTTTTTGAGACGGAGTTTCACCCTTGTCGCCCAGTCTGGAGTGCAATGGCATGATCTCAGCTCTGTGCAATCTCTGCCTCCTAGGTTCAAGCGATTCTTCTGCCTCAGCCTCCCAAGTAGCTAGGATTGTAGACATGAGCCACCAGCTCCAGCTAATTTTTGTATTTTTAGTAGAGATAAGGTTTTGCCATGTTAGCCAGGCTGGTCTCAAACTCCTGATCTTAAGTTATCCACTGGCCTCAGCCTCCCGAAGTGCTGGGATTACAGGCATGAGCACCAAGCCTGGCCCAAGCATACTTTTTTTTTTTTTTTGAGACAAGATCTCAATCCTGTCACCTGGGCTGCTAGAGTAGTGGCGTGATCACGACTCACTGCAGCCTTGTACTTCCTGGGCTCAGGTGATTCTCCTAGATCAGCCTCCCAAGTAGCCAGACTAAAGCCACGTGCAACCACGCCTAGCTAATTTTTGTATTTTTAGTAGGGAGAGGGTTTCACCATGTTGCCCAGGCTGGTGGTGCATGCCACCATGCCTGGGTAACCTAAGCATACTTTTACTTCAATCAAATTCAGATAAATATCAAAAGAGGTGTTCACGTGGGTACAGAAAATGGAAGTATAGGTCTAAAAAAGGTTAAGAATTACAAAGTAGCTGATTTAGAACTTGCCAGAAATACCAGCAGTCTCAAAATAGAATAGGTAGCCTTTGCTACTAAGTTTTACATTGCTAGAGGTATACAAGCAGAAATAAAAGCAAAGATAAGGCCTCCACTCAAAACATGCTTATGTTGTGGCAGAACTTTGAAAATGATTAAACTCATTTTTACTAGTTTTGTGATTCTCGGGTATTTCAGGCCAGTCTATCTAAAATGACAAAGGAAAGTGAATCTTTCTTTCCAAAAAGATTGTTTCTTTTTGTTTTCTTTGTTTCTAAGATTTCATGATTCTCTCTTGAGTTCATGAGAAGATTGTTTTGACAGGGAAAGAAACTCGACCTGATTTAACCCCTGGCTCTGTAGCATAAATGAGGGTGGGAAGATTCAATGAAATTGTGAAACATGTAACTTATAAAACATTTATCTTTTCATTTCAGAAGTAACATTAAATTCAGGACCTTTGAAAGGCCTATTTTATTTTTTTAAGTATCAAATAGGACAGGCTCTCAAAATTAAAAATTTGAGAGTTAATGCTTTTGTTTTGTTTTGTTTTGTTTTTCCTGAAAAGCATTCACAGCTCTGATGGAGGGCAAAATCAATAAGCAGCTCAAGAAAGTTCTTAAGAAAATAGTAAAAGAAGCCCATGAACCGTTGGCAGTGGCTGATGCTAAACTAGGAGGGGTCATAAAGGTAAAGTCATAATTTTTTTTTTGTCATGCCTGCTAGTCAAATCTCACAGCATACCAACTATAAAGCCTAGCCTTTGTAATAAGTTGCTTGTTATAAGTTCTCAATACTTGATCTTTTTTCTGTAAGCTACATGATTTCCCCTAATATCAGCTCAACTTAGGAAATATTTATTATAGAAGATCTAGAAGAACAATAAATGGTAAAAATTGGTTCTAACAAATCTGCTACCCATATATCATGCCTAGTGTTCTATGTATATCGTCTAGCCACATTTTTTTTTTTTCAATAAAAATGGGGTCCTTATATTTTTAAAAAATGTATTTATTAGAAAACTTTAGTAGAGGTGTATTGCTAGAGATAAAATGTGAGAGTGGAAAGAAGGAAAATAGCCTCCCAAATACAGAAAAAGAACAATTCAAAAGCCCGGCCTGGAGTGCAGTGATTGCAGTCTCACAGCTCACCACAGACTTGATCACTGTGGTTCTCAAGCAACCCACTGTCTTCAGCCTCTCTAGTAGAGGGTACAACAGGCATATGCCACCGTGCCCAGCTAATTTTTTATTTTATTTTATTTTAGACAGAGTCTTGTTCTGTTGCCCAGGCTGGAGTGCAGTACCACAATCTCCTCTCACTATAACCTCTCCCTCCCAGGTTTAAGCGATTCCCCTGCCTTAGCCTTCTGACTAGCTAGGATTACAGATGCCTGCCACCATGCTCAGCTAATTTTTTGTTAGAGATGGGGTTTCACTCCATTGGCCAGACTGGTCTTGAACTCCTGGCCTCAAGCAATCCACCATCGGCCTCCCAGAGTGCTGGGATTACATGTGTGAGCCACCATGCCCATCCTGTAATTTTAAAAAGAAGTTAAATAACAGGTAGTAAAAGATCTTAAACCAACAAACAAGGAAACTATTTGGTCAAATTATATTAATCTTTTTATAGCTTTTAATTTATATAGCCAGGCTACCTTCTGGTAGCTTGTGTCAGTTTTTACTTCCACCAGTGATACACTCAAGTATTTTACAAATACACTAGAAATTAGACTTTTTGTCCAACTGAGAAATGCATATATTTAAACCAGCGCTACTTTAATATTCAAGGAGTAATTTTAGGCTGTGTGCTGTGGCTTCTGCCGTAATCCTAGCACTTTGGGAGGCTGAGGCGGAGAATGAGGTCAGGAGTTGGAGATCATCTGAGCCAACATTGGTGAAATCCCATCCCTACTAAAAATCTAAAAATTAGCCAGGCATGGTGGTTCATATCTGTAATCCCAGCTACTCAGGAGGCTGAGGCAATAGAATTGCTTGAACCTGGGAGGCAAAAGTTGCGGTGAGCCAAGATCGCACCACTACACTCCAGCCTGGTTGACAGAGTGAGACTTCGTCTCAAAAAAAAAAAAAAGATAATAATTTCAGGAAAGTTTGCTTTTGCTTTACTTAATACATATGTTCTTCTTGTTGTAGGAAAAGCTGAATCTCAGTTGTATCCATAGTCCCGTCGTTAATGAACTTATGAGAGGAATTCGTTCACAAATGGATGGATTAATTCCTGGCGTAGAACCACGTGAAATGGCAGCTATGTGTCTTGGATTGGCTCACAGGTGAGAATTACTGGAAAATAAAGTCAGTTTATTTTTGTTTGATAAGCAATTAACATAGCTCTGTTGTAAGAATGTTACAAAGGCTCTTGTAAGCTTCATCAGAACCTTATGAACAAGATTCTAGTAATATCCTCATTTACAGATTAAACTGATCCCCAGGGTCAATAAAGCTTGTAAGTGGTAAAGCCAGGATTTGAACGCTGGCAGTCTTGCTCCATTGTCTGGATTCTTAAAACGTCAAAATGTCATCAAAGGAATTCCCTACTCCCCTGAACTTGGATTCCCTGTTTCTTGGGCTTTCCCACTTTTCTTTTATCTCTGCTAAGTCATGCCATTCCTCCATCCACTTAATATTTCCCCAGATTCTCTCATCAACTGTGGTCTTAACGTTTTATGTGTGTGTTTTTTGTTTTACTCTGATTTTTAAAGAGATTTTAGAGTGAGGCAAAGAGGGATTAGGTACAGTGGCTTACACCTGTAATCCCAACTTTTTCTCTTTCTCTCTCTTTTTTTTAATGAGACAGGGTCTCACTGTTGCCCAGACTGAAGCGCAGCGATGCAATCTCGGCTCACTGCAGCCTCTGCCTCTGAGGCTCGAGCAATTCTCTTGCCTCAGCCACATGAGTAGCTAGGATTACAGGCGTGCACCACTACTGCCAGGCTAATTTTTGTATTTTCAGTAGAGACAGGGTTTCACCATGTTGGCCAGGCTGGTCTTGAACTTGTGACCTCAAGTGAGCCACAGGCCAGCCTCTATTTTTTTTTTGAAATAGGGTGTTACTCTGTCGCCCAGGCTGGGGTGCAGTGGTACAATCTCTGCTCACTACAACCTTTATATCCTGGACTCAAACAATGCTACCTCAGCCTCCCAAGTAGGTGGGACTACAGGTGCACACTGCACCATTCCTGGCTGATTTTTTTTAACTTTTTGTAAAGATGAGGTTTTGCTATGCTGCCAAGGCTAGAACTCCCAGGCTCAAGTGATCCACCTGCCTTGGCATCCCAAAGTGCAAGGACTACAGGTGTGAGTCACTATTTTTAATTGCGCATTAACCCTACCATATTTAACTAGAAATCCCTTAGAATAGGCGTTACTGCTGTGTGGTGATCCATCTGTTCATGAAAAAGTGTAACACTCTGGAATAGGGTTTTGAAGAAAATGATGGGTAGTTACTCAAAACCTATGCAACATTGTAATCAGAGCACTATCAAATACTGTTCCTACTAAAATGGTTACAGTTCAAAAGACATCTTGAGTTCATGTAAAAGAAACACTAAACAAAGGTCTGTTTTAAAATTAAAAGGTGGGCATAGATTGAAAGGGTTGAAGCTGCTAAGTTAGGGATAAGAGCAAAAACTCACAAAGGTCAGGGAGAGCTTTGTAATCATTTCTAAGAGGGAGCAAATAGTGAAACTGAGTCAAAAATCCAAACGTGGGTAAATCTGTGTGTAGCAGTGGTTCATTATCGAGGGCAATCAGATGCGCCCTGGCAGGGCATTTGGCAATGCCCACAGACATTTTTGGTTATTACAGGTGGGGGTAGGGTGGGGTCTGCCACGAACATCTAATGGATGAAAGTTAGGGATACTGCTAAAGGTCCTATAATACACAGGGCAGCCACTACTGCAAGGAATTAGAAGACCTAAAATGTTAGTTGTGCTGAGATGAAGAAACATTTATATGCAGACAATGTTGTTCCTCTACAGCTTTCTATTTTCATATGTTAAGAGTGCTGTAAAGTTCTTAACTAGTAGTGTAAATAATTAATGTTGTGAAATATTGCATGAACCAATATGGTGGTTGGTTGGTTTTTTTTTTGTTTGTTTGTTTTTTTTGTGTGTGTGAGAGATGGGGTCTTGCTCTGTTGCCCAGTCTGGAGTGCAGTGGCATGTGATAACAGCTCACTGCAACCTCTGCCTCCCAGGTTCAAGCGAGTCTTGTGCCTTGGTTTCCTTGGTAGCTGAGATTCAGGCAAGGCATGCCCTGCCACACCTGGCTAATGTTTGTAGTTTTAATAGAGATGGGTTTTCACCATGTTGGCCAGGTCCCAAAGTGCAGGAATTACAGGCATGAGCCACCACGCCCACTCTAATATAACTTTTGTATTACCCAGTTTATCCTATTTGTCATTCATACGTAAACTCATTTATGTTACAGAAATACAGGTTGTAGCTGGGCGTGGTGGCTCACGCCTGTAATCCCAGCACTTTGGGAGGCCGAGGCGGGTGGATCACGAGGTCAAGAGATCGAGACCATCCTGGTCAACATGGTTTAACCCCGTCTCTACTAAAAATACAAAAATTAGCTGGGCTTGGTGGTGTGTTCCTGTAATCCCAGCTACTCAGGAGGCTGAGGCAGGAGAATTGCCTGAACCCAGGAGGTGGAGGTTGCGGTGAGCTGAGATCACGCCATTGCACTCCAGCCTGGGTAACAAGAGCGAAACTCCATCTCAAAAAAAAAAAAAAGAAAAAAAAAGAAATACAGGTTGTAGCAGTATATATGGATATATATTTTTTAATACGTACTTTCTGATCTTGCATGATACATTTCTACTTGGCTGATTTTTCTTCTTAGAAAAACAAATTATAAGGCTGGGCACTATGGCTCACACCTGTAGTCACAGCACTTTGGGAGGCTGAGGACAGCCAGTCACCTGAGGTCAGGAGTTTGAGACCAGCCTGACCAACATGGTTAAACGCTGTCTCTACTAAAAATACAAAAATTAGCCAGGCATGGTGGTGAGCACCTGTAATCTCAGCTACTCAGGAAGCTGAGGCAGGAGAATCACTTGAATCTGGGAGTTGGAGGTTGCAATGAGCTGAGATTATGCCACTGCACTCCATCCTGGTCAACAGAGTGAGACTCTGTCTAAAAAGAAAAACCAGTTATAGCTTTGAGAGGGATTTGAATAAAAAAAACTTTAAGGTCTTAAGTGCTTTCCCTAGCTGCTATCTTACTAATTTACTTTCCCCTTTCTCCCCAGCCTGTCTCGATATAGATTGAAATTTAGCGCTGATAAAGTAGACACAATGATTGTTCAGGCAATTTGTAAGTATAGTTCATGCAAAGTCTGATTTGTTGTTCTGTCCTTCATGTGTTTTATACTATTGAAACTACCTTTTATGATCTATCTGTTGAGAAAGAAAAAGGAGGCCAGGCACAGTGGCTCACTCCTTTAATCCCAGCACTTAGGGAGTCCAAGGTGGGCAAATCACCTGAGGTCAGCAGTTCGAGACCAGCCTGGCTAACATTGCCAAACCCCATGTCTGCTGAAAGTACAAGAAAATTATCTAGGCTTTCTGGTACACACCTGTAGTCCCAGTTACTCAGGAGGCTGAGTCAGTAGAATCACTTGAACCCAGAAGGCGGAGGTTGTAGTGAGCCGACATTGTTTCACTGCACTCCTGGGCAACAGAGCAAGAATGCATCTCAAAAAAAAAAAAAAAAAGGGAAGGAGAAAGAAGATCACCTAAAACTTATACTAAATAAATAAATTTGAAAATGCAGAATAAAAGAAACTGCCAATAATTTGGCTATTTGGAGATTATGTGAATCACAGAATTAACATTACATAAATTAATTCATTTGCATTTTTTCATGAAAATGTTAAAAACATTAAGTGGAATCTGTGTAGTTGTGTATTCTGCTATGTCATTTAAATGATTTTTTTGAAAGCTTGAAATCTTTTTTTTTTATTTTTTATTATTATTTTTTTTAAAGACAAGGTTTCACCATGTTGGCCAGGCTGGTCTGGAACTCCTGGCCTCAGGTGATCCGCCTGCCTTGGCCTCCCAAAGTGCTGGGATTACAGGCATGAGCCACCACGCCTGGCCTGAAATCTTTTTTTTTTTTAAAGACAGTGTTTTGCTCTTGTTGCTCAGGCTGGAGTGCAATGGCGTGATTCTTCTGCCTTGGCCTCCCCGGTGGCTGGGATTACAGGATTTTTTTCATGTTGGTCAGGCTGGTCTTGAACTCCAGGCCTCAGGTTGTCCACCTGCCTACTTGAGATTTATACCCAAAAGAATTAAAAACAGGAACTCAGACTTCATTGTACCCCTATGTCCATAAAAATGTTACTTACAAAACCAAATAATGGAAACCCAAATACCTTTTAACAGATGAATGGATAAACTGCATTGTGTATACAGCTTGAATGTCCCTAATCTGAAATTTAAAATGCTCCAAAATCTAGAACTTTTTGTGCTACCACATAAAGCCAAAAGTGTAAAACTCCACACCTGACCACATGTGACAGATGGTCAAAACTTTGTTTCATGCACAAAATTATTTAAAATATTGCATAAAATTACCTTCAGGGTTTTGTATGTAAGGTGTATGTGAAATGTAGATTTCCTATTTAGACTTGAAGTCCAAACTTAAAGATATCTCCTATGTGTTTGCAAATATTCCAAAATACTTCTGGTCACAAGCATTTTGGATAACATGCACCCAGCCTGTACACACAGTGGAATATCAGTCAGCCTTAAGGAGAAATGAAATTCTGATACTTACTTCAATTTGATCAACCTTGAAAACATGCTAAGTGAAATAGTCACAAAATACTGCATGATTCTGCTTATATGAAGTACCTAGAATAGGTGATTTCATTGAGACAGAAGTATAGAGATAGCTAGAGGTTGGGCAAGGTGAGAATGAGTAGTTTACTGTTTAATGGATACAGAATTTTTGGTTTGTCATGATAAAATTGCTCTGGAAATAGATTGTGGTAATGGTTGCATAACATTGTAAATGTACTTAGTGCTACTGAATTGTACACTTGAAAATGGTTGAAGTGTTAAATTTTATGTGTATTTTAACCACAATAAATCTCTTAAGTTCCTATGGTTTTTTCTTATTTGTTTGTTTTGTTTTGTTTTTTCATTTTAATCTACAGCCTTATTAGATGACTTGGATAAAGAACTAAACAACTACATTATGCGATGTAGAGAATGGTATGGCTGGCATTTCCCTGAATTAGGAAAAATTATTTCAGATAATTTGACATACTGCAAGTGTTTACAGAAAGTTGGTGAGTAATTTGTCCTTTAAGTCATTGAAAGTAAATGAATTTGGCCAGGCATGCTGGCTTACGCCTATAATCCTAACACTTTGGGAGGCTGAGGTGGGAGGCTCACAGGGTCAGGAGTTTGAGACCAGCCTAGCCAACATGGTGAAACCTCGTCTCTACTAAAAATACAAAAATTAGCTGGGTGTGGTAGGGTGGGCACTTGTAACCCCAGCTACTCCGGAGGCTGAGGCAGGAGAATCGCTTGAACCCAGGAGGTGGAGGTTGCAGTGAGCCGAGATCGTGCCATTGCACTCCAGTCTGGGTAACAACAGCGAAACTCCGTCTCAAAAAAAAAAAAGTAAATGAATTTGATTGCATCCTAAAACATGAGTTACAGCATTTTCTTAAGCAGGATTCCCAGGGTTTTTGCAATTTCCATGTATTTGGGAAGTGTAGCAATTTAGTGTCTTAAATTTAAGAAACAAAATGAATTTTAACTTAGATTTTGATGGCCTGTAATATGACATTAGTACCTGATACTAAATAGCCATATTGCTGTCTGTACTGTTAACATACAGAGGAACTTGATTGTTGATAAGTAATGGCTTACTTGGCTTACTAATTACTGGCCTCAGCTTCAGTATAAAGTCTGTGACATTATTAGTCCTGTCTTTTTAAATTTTAGCCACTTATTTTCTGAAATGAGTTTTGTGGCATCTTTATTTAGTTTTTACTCTGATTATTTTTTGGAGGAAGGTGGTGGGGAGAAATTTTATCTCTAAACTCAAACCGTTAAAAGAGGAAAAACTATTATACTAGGTCAAACTTCTTCATTTTTTTTGTTTTGTTTAGGCATCCTTTTCATTGGCTTTCTACTTTTTCTTTTGACTATTTGCTGGATTTTATCTAATTTGTTGAAGAGTGATTCTCCCTCATCCTCTGCAAACATTCCATAGGCGATAGGAAGAACTATGCCTCTGCCAAACTTTCTGAGTTCCTACCAGAAGAAGTTGAAGCAGAAGTGAAAGCAGCTGCGGAGATATCAATGGGAACAGAGGTTTCAGAAGAAGATATTTGCAATATTCTGCATCTTTGCACCCAGGTAAATTTTACTCCTAAAGAATCTAGTTGTGGTACTACCACCTCTATAATAATTTTTCTGATGGCAATGATGATTTTTACACTTATTTCACCTGATAACATAAATATGAAGGTGTTCAGTCACTACCTCATCTGATGCCATCATGATTTGTATACTTAAAAAGGGGAAATACGTACTAAAAGAAAGTAGTTTATAATCATCATCTGAATAATTAACAAAAAATCCATTAAGATGGCAGAGAAGTATTGCTTAGAATCTTTTATGACTAAGATTTTCAGGCAGTATACTAAGTGGTTTATATATATTATATAACGAAGTCCTTACAACAGCCATTTTATAGAAAACCGGTGTTAGGCATAGTTGATGTAGCAAGGGTTGTGTAGCTGCTCTTTAATATTGAGGGCTCCAGTGTGTTCGACATAGGACTTTTATACTGTTTTTACTGATTTTTATACTGTTTTGTGACTTAATTTATTCCTTATACTAGGTGATTGAAATCTCTGAATATCGAACCCAGCTCTATGAATATCTACAAAATCGAATGATGGCCATTGCACCCAATGTTACAGTCATGGTTGGGGAATTAGTTGGAGCACGGCTTATTGCTCATGCAGGTGATGGTTTTAATGTTATTTGTAAACGTGAGTGTTTGAAGTATTTTCTGGTTAGGATTTTGTTTACATCTTTAAACCATAGCTATTAAAAGAAATTCTGAGTAATAAGAAAAAAGTAGATGGTATGTAGGAGATGAATAAGGGCCAAGTGTTCAGTGATGATTTTTATTTGTTTGCCTGATTTCTTTTTGGATAATGAAGGCATCTTTAGTCACTACCTCTTCTGAGACACTTGGGGTTTATTGTTAGCAGTTTATTAAGGTTAATTAGAATAATCAGATGAATGTAGGAGGCTAAAACAGTTAACATTTTCATAAGACATAGATTTAAATATAGTTTTAAGAAATCACTATAGAGGATAAATACCCTTGATTATCTTAGTTTCACTATTGAGTGTGTGGTTGTAATTAATATGACTTTAAAAATATTTTCAGCAACCGATTTATAATAAAGCTTTGTATACATGTATGGCAATATTATAAGGATGACAGGCTCTAATTAAAATGCTATCAGTGTTTAAAATGGCATAACTCTTTTTTTGTTTTTTTGGGTTTTTTTTGGCATGGAGTTTTACTCTGTTGCACTGGCTGGAGTGCTGTGGCACAGTCTCTGCTCACTGCAACCTCTGCCTCCCGGGTTCAAGCAATTCCCCTGCCTCAGCCTCCCAAGTTGCTGGGGTTACAGGCGCCCACCACCATGCCTGGCTAATTTTTGTATTTTTAGTTGAGATGGGGTTTCACTGTGTTGGCCAAGCTGGTCTCAAACTTTTGACCTCAGGTGATCCACCTGCCTCGGCCTTGCAGAGTGCTGGATAAATTACAGGCAGGAGCCACTGCGTGCAGTCTGGCATAATTTCTTTAGCTGCATCATTAATCAGAGGTTTCATTCAAGTGCCTGCAGCTGTAAGATCAGATGATTTCATTTTCTTCACCTGTTTTCATGCATACAGCTAAAGTTGTAGCACTAATCGATGGCAGGGGTTAATAGAAGTATGTATTTGTTGGCTGGGCACCGTGGCTCACACCTGTAATCCCAGTACTTTGGGAGGCCGAGGTGGGTGGATCACCTGAGGTTGGGAATTTGAGACAAGCCTGGCCAACATGTCTCTTACTAATAGCACAAAAATTAGCCGGCCATAGAGGCATTCACCTGTAATCCCAACTACTCAGGAGGCTGAGGCAGGAGAATCTCTTGAACCCAGGAGGCGGAGGTTGCACTGAGCCAAAATTGTGCCATTGCACTCCAGTCTGGGTGACAAGAGTAAAACTCCATCTCAAAAAAAGAAGTATGTATTTGTTGCACTTTAAAAAATATGTCTCATGGTAAAGTTTGTAGCATTAATGGTGAGTGTGCTTTCTGACAGGAAATATTCTATACAACATTTCCAGCTAAGCAGTATGTTGATAACTCACTAGTACAGTAGTCCCCAGCTATCCATGAGGATATATTCTGAGCCCCCCCACCCCCACCCATGGATGTTTGAAACAGAGGATAGTAGTGAACTCTGTGCTGTATATGCTGTTTTTTCCTAAACACACATACGTATGATAAAGTTTAATTTATAAGTTAGATACAGTAGGACATCAACAACAGTAATAATAAAACAATTATGACAATATCCCAGTGTCACTATTTTTCTGCATTGGTTACATGAACATAAGCACTGCAATATTGCACTGTGGAGAGGGCTAGGAAAGTGACTAATGGGTAGATAGGGATAATTCATATTCTCCCTATCTGAATATGGGGACTGAGTGCGGTGGCAAGAGATTTGAAACTTTGGAACTGTTTATTTCTGGAATTTCCTTTTTAATATTTTCAGACTGCAGTTGACCACAGTTAATTGAAACCACAGATAGGGAACTATTAGTATACTTCTAGGAATATATTTTCCTAATCCACAGCTGAATCAACAGAAGTAAATAAGTTGTGAATTTATTATAGGGTTATGCTACCGAGATGTCCTAATAAATGTGTTTGTTTGTAGGCTTTTTCATATCTTTTTGTTTGTTTGTTTTTGAGACGGAGTTTCGCTCTTGTTACCCAGGCTAGAGTGCAATGGCACAATCTTGGCTCACCCCCGCCTCAGCCTCCCGAGTGGCTGGGACTACAGGCGTGCACCACCGTGCCCAGCTAATTTTTGTATTTTTAGTAGAGATGGGGTTTCACCATGTCGACCAGGATGGTCTTGATCTCTTGACCTTGTGATCCACCCGCCTCGGCCTCCCAAAGTGCTGGGATTATAGGCATGAGCCACCGTGCCTGGCCAGGCTTTTTCATATCTAAAGCAATAGAATATTTAATACAATCTCAGAAAATAGGGGCCAGATTAGTGTTCTCGTGTGTGACATATTTGTGTTACTCCTGTAGTATACTAATGGAATATAGAATAGTACTACCATCTCTGGGGTGAATAGAAACATTGAACTAAAAAGCTTAACCTTCAGTTTGCCCTAGGCATTCATCACAAACCTGCTTGTACTGATGAAGGAATTAGAAACGAAACATCAGGCTTTTTAGGGAATTCTGGCTTAAAGAATTCTGTATTATATGTGATTTTTATTTTATTATGGTGGGCATAATAATTCTATAGGTCTTTTGTTTTAGTACATGGAACATTCAGATGTTTGGAAGTGCATTCTTTGTAACTTTCTTCTTTTGTAGGTTCTCTTTTGAATTTGGCCAAGCATGCAGCTTCTACAGTTCAAATTCTTGGAGCAGAAAAGGCACTTTTCAGAGCCCTCAAATCTAGACGGGATACCCCTAAGTATGGTCTCATTTATCATGCTTCACTCGTCGGCCAGACAAGTCCCAAGCACAAAGGAAAGGTGTGTTACATGGTTTTGTTTTTTGAGGTTGGACTTTTTTATTATATAACCACTTTTCTCTATAGTGCATATTAAATCTTCGTATAATCTCTTTCTTGTTAAATAGAGAAAGGTGAGTTATGTAAAAAGCATTTTGTGGTGGGGTACGGTGGCTCACGTTTGTAATCCCAACATTGGGGAGGCTGCGGTGGGTGGATCACCTGAGGTCAGGAGTTTGAGACCAGCCTGACCAACATGGAGAAACCCCATCTCTACTAAAAATAGAAAAATTATCCAGGCATGGTTGTGGGCGCCTATAGTCCCAGCTCCTCGGGAGGCTGAGGCAGGTCACTTGAGATCAGGAGTTGGGCCAGCCTGACCAACAGCTGAAGCCTGGGACTATAGGCACGTGCCACCATGCTCAGCTGTTTTTTGTATTTTTAGTAGAGATGGGGTTTCACCATGTTCACCAGCTCCTGGCTTCATGGTCCACCGCCTTGGCCTCCAAAGTGCTGGGATTACAAGTGTGAGCCACCGTGCCTGGCCTAAATTTGTAATAGCCTTATGAGATATACGTATCTCTGTTTTACTGATGGTGAAACTGAGGCTTAGACAAGTTAAGTACTTTCAGTCTTTTTGAATGATGTGTAGTTTAACAGAACTAAACTGAAATTTGATAAAATCTAGAGTAGAATGGTAGAGGTAATAAAGGGTTCAATAAAATAAACTTAAGAAAAAGAACCACACATATTTAAGATTATTATGGGTTAAAGATGCACTTGTTCTGAATGATCTCAAGGCACAGAACTAATGTCACTGAGTAGAAACTAAAGTTTAAAAATGTTAAAAAAAGCCAGGCATGGTGGCTTATGCCTATAAATCCCAGCACTTTGAGGGGCCGAGATGGGTGGATCACAAGGTCAAGAGATCGAGACCATCCTGGTCAACATGGTGAAAACCCATCTCTACTAAAAATACAAAAATTAGCTGGGCATGGTGGTGCATGCCTGTAGTCCCAGCCACTCGAGAGGCTGAGGCAGGAGAATTGGTTGAACCCAGGAGACCGAGGTTGCGGTGAGCCGAGATCGCGCCATTGCACTCCAGCCTGGGTAACAAGAGCGAAACTTGGTCTCAAAAAAATAAAATAAAAATGTTTAAAAAAAAAAAAAGGCCAGGCATAGTGGCACATGCCTGTAATCCAAGCTCTTTGGGAGGTCAGGGAGGCGGATCACAAGGACAGAGTTTGAGACCAGCCTGGACAACGTGGTGAAACTCCATCTCTACTAAAAATACAAAACTCAGCCAGGCATGGTGGCACATGCCTGTAATCCCGGCTGCTCATGCCTGTAATCCAAGCTCTTTGGGAGGTCAGGGAGGCGGATCACAAGGTCAGAGTTTGAGACCAGCCTGGACAACGTGGTGAAACTCCATCTCTACTAAAAATACAAAACTCAGCCAGGCATGGTGGCACATGCCTGTAATCCCGGCTCCTCGGGAGGCTGAGTCAGGGAAAATAGCTTGAACTGGGGAAGTAGAGGTCATAGTGAGCCCAGATCATGCCATTACACTCTAGCCTGGGTGACAGAGCAAGACTTAGTCTCAAAAAAAAAAAAAAAAAAAAAAAAAAATTAAAAAAAAAAGGTTTGAGCTATTATTTTACATGAATTGCTATAAAATCTTTTCAACCACAGAAGTGTTAGTGCTGATGTATGGCCATTAGGTTGTGACAAAGGTTGAAATATGATGGGTGATTTAATTTTATGATTCGTAATACTTTGATAACTCCTTGTTTGAAAACATTCTAGAATAAATGATAATGTGATTTGCTCAAACTGTTGTTGAGGACTTTACATCTGAACGTGGAATGTAGTTCTTCATGGTTTTTCTATTAGATTTCTCGAATGCTGGCAGCCAAAACTGTTTTGGCTATCCGTTATGATGCTTTCGGTGAGGATTCCAGTTCTGCGATGGGAGTTGAGAACAGAGCCAAATTAGAGGCCAGGTTGAGAACTTTGGAAGATAGAGGGGTAAGAACCACATTATCCATATTGCAGAAGTATTGCCTGTCAGAAGTTAATATGAGTAGATTTATGGAATTCGTCTGCTAAACATTTTATGATACATATTAGTATGTCTAAAGTATTCTTATTGTGCCTACTGTTAACAGTTGCTCTTATTTACTAAGAATTGATGTATGCAACAGCGTTTGCCATTAGATGTGCCATTTAAAATAAAATGAAAAACAGCAGAAGTTGCAGTTTGCTGGCCTACTGATTGACTAGACTGTATAGTATATTATAAAGAGATTAGGCTTAGAATTGTATTTGTAATTTTTCTTTTTCTTCTTAGATAAGAAAAATAAGTGGAACAGGAAAGGCATTAGCAAAAACAGAAAAATATGAACACAAAAGGTGAGTACATTTAAGAGAGGATGGGGTGAATAGTTTTTTTTAAATGTTAATTATTGACAGCAGTTTTTATTCTGAACTTCACCTTGACGTGCCCCTAGGTTTTTCAAATTTATTTGACAAAAATTGTGTATATTTATTGTGTACATGTCACTTTTGGAAAACATTGGCATTGAGGAATGATTAAATCAATCACATTGACATGCATTGTCTTAACATTTTTTGTAGTGAGAGTACCTTAAAATCTACTTAGCAGTTTTCAACAATATAACACATTGTTGTTAACTTTAGTTACCATGTTGTACACCCCTTTTTTTCTTGCCATTTAGTTTTCCATATTCACTTCTAGTTTTCATTGATAGTAAATTTTTAAATCTAAAGTTTCTCTATAGTATGTTCTTTATCAAAAAGTTCATTCAGAGTTAATCCCTGAAGAAACCTATTTTGTAAAAAGTATAAAGATGGAAAACATGTCTAAAAATGTCTGAGGCATGACAAAATACTCAAACTTAACTATCAAATTAACGAAATATTTGTATGTGGGGGGTATTCGGGTTAAATTTATTTGAGGTAATGCTCAATGCTGGTGAGGTTGCAATGATGGAAGTAAAATGGTATAGCTATTCTGGGAAGCCATTTCACAGTATCTATGTATCAAGATTCTTCAAAATGTTCCTAGTCATTGGCCCAATAAATTATACTTTTAGGACTCATAATCCTTCAAGAATGTTAATAGTAAAATCTTACGCTATTAGTGGATGAAGAGGGTAATGTATAGTAACGTTTACCATTTATAAACACATATTTAAATATAATTACTTTACTATTTTCTGGAAAGAAACCAAATGTGTTTCTGTGGGCATTCACATTTTCTTTTTTTTTTTCTGAATTTTCCAGGCTTTCTGCAATGGACATACATACTACAATATTTACAGTCTGTAATTTGTTGTCTTTAGTTGATAAACATGGGGGGTTTTTTGTTTTTGTTTTGGGGGAGATGGAGTCTCACTCTGTTGCCCAGACTACAATGTAATGGTGCGATCTTGGCTCACCACAACCTCTGCCTTCTGGGTTCAAGTGATTATCCTGCCTCAGCCTCCCAAGTAGCTGAGACTATAGGCACGTGCCACCACGTCCAGCTAACTTTTTGTATTTTTAGTAGAAACAGTTTTTTTTTTTCCCCCACCACAATTAATCAGAACACAAGTAGAAGTAGAAACAATTTCATTATGTTAGCCAGGATGGTCTTGATCTCCTGACCTCGTGATCCACCTGCCTCAGCCTCCCAAGGTGCTGGGATTACAGGTGTGAGCCACCATGCCAGCCTTGTTTCTTAAATTATGAATGTCTTTAACCTATAAAAATTAAAGTAATACAGTTTCCAAGTCTGCTTAAGAAACAACATTTTTTAGCTTGTTTCGAACAAATTTTTTTAACGTTCCTATGCAGTTAATGCTTTTTACTTTAAAAATGCACTTGAAGCATCAGTTTACATTTTAGGCACTCATTCCAGTATTTTCTTTCTGCTTACATTAGAACAAAAGCAAATGTTGGGTTCTCAGAAATCTTTTCCATGTGTATGTATCTGTATTGTTTTCTTCTCTTGTGATCTTACGATGAAGACTTCTATACTAACCTTGGTTTCGATTTTTTGTTCTGCCTTTTTTCATTTAATTTTGTAGTGTTCTGAAAATTGGATTGGTTCAGTTTTCACTTTCTAGTTAGTTGTAAAGACATTTTCTCCTTTCGTTTCCCCCATGCTGATTGAGTGTTTTCCTGTACCATAGTAACTACATTGATTACTAAATCAGAATTCATTTAGCTCACCACTTCTCTTGAATGTGATTGACCTACTTGAAAAATACTAATACCTTTACCTTTTGGGAACTATTAGTCTTCATAAACTACCCCAAAGCCACTAAAATGAAACAACATTGTGTGCTTATGTAAGTATAATCTAATGGCATTTTCTTTATCTCTTGAGAATTATTTCAGTTACAGATACTTGTAGAGATTTTCTAAAACTTTTTGGGTCTTTCAGTGAAGTGAAGACTTATGATCCTTCTGGTGACTCCACACTTCCAACTTGTTCTAAAAAACGCAAAATAGAACAGGTAAATAAAGAGGATGATATTCCTGAAAAGAAAGCGAAGAAAGGCAAGATTAAAGTTAAAGGTTAGTTTGAATTTTTTTTTAACACAATATATACTCATTTCTTAAGAACTATGGACTTAGTGAGTCTTAGAAGAACATGCCATTGCACTTTATTATAAAACTACTAGTTGAATGCTGACGGTGTTTAATAATGCCATTATGTTCTCTGGGAATAGTTAGGATATTGTTAAATTTACCGGACTTCACAGAGGAAATGTGAGAAGCGTAGTCAAACATACCAGTACTTCAGTTTCTACTACATGAACTATTTTGAGAATTAAGAGAAAAAAACCAATGTGTTTTCTAAATTGGTTGTTGAAAATTTTTTGTTTTATATAAAGTTAAGAATGAATATAGAATTGATGGAACAGTGGTTTTCTTCATTGTTTTTGTTATATGGAGCGGACTAGAAGGAATACATACTGGTAGCCTGCTCTCATAGTTACAGTATCTAATAGGTGCTCACCAGTTAACTAGGCTGTCTTGTGAAGTTGATAAGCAGGTGCCCCATTAAAAGTCAAACGTGTCGGGTTTTTTTGTTTGTTTGTTTTTAATTTTTCATCTGTCCCTTCTCATAACCAAGAAAGACAAACCTGTGTTTATTGAACACATACTAGCAAGTCTTGCAAAAGAGTAAATTATTAACAGAATGATCACTTTAACTTAGTTTCTAAATAGCTTAGTGATCAAAAGTGTTTGATTTGCAAATGTGGATAGTATACTTCATAGAGAAAACTATTTATTTAGCTCTTAGGCTTCTTTTTATTGAAAAGTAAGGATATTCCTAAACCCATTAGTAGCATTTGAGGCACCAAACCCTGTCTTTGTAGCCTCAATTGTGTATCTAATAAGCTTTTACAATTTATCTGTCAATTTTCCATCCCACATCCCCTCCCCTCATTTTTGTTGTTGTTGTTGTTTGTTTGTTTTGAGGCAGTTTCCTCTGTCGACAGCCTGGAGTGTAGTGGCATGATCTTGGCTCACTGCAACCTTCGCCTCCTGGGTTCAAGTGATTCTCCTGCCTCAGCCTCTCGAGTAGCTGGGATTACAGGCACACACCACCATGCCTGGTTACTTTTTGTGTTCTTAGAAGAGATGAGGTTTCACCATGTTGGCAAGGCTGGTCTCAAACTCTTGACCTTGTGATCCGCCTACCTCAGCCTCCCAAAGTGCTGAGATTACAGGTGTGAGCCACTGCACCCAGCTGGTAATTGAATTTCTTTTTTCTTTTTTTTTTTTTTGAGATGGAGTCTTACTCTGTCGCCCAGGTTGACGTGCAGTGGTGCCGCCTCAGCTCACTGCAACCTCCTCCTCCCAGGTTCAGGCAGTTCTCCTGCCTCAGCCTCCCAAGTAGTTGGGATTACAGGCATGAGCCACCATGGCTGGCTGGTCATGAATTTCTAATGATAGCTATGTGTTGAGTCCTTATTGTAATGTGTGCTAAGCATTATACTTAGTATTTTGTGTGTATCATCTCTTTAAATCTCAGTAAGATTCTAATGAGATAAGACATTCTTAAATGTTATAGATGAGGATATAGAGTTTTACCAGGGGTAAATAAAATTATTCAGGACTGCAGCAGGTAGAATAAACCCAGGCCGCCTTCAGAGTGCAAGCTCTTAACCATTTCTAATATAATTGACTCTCTTCCCAAAAATGATAAGGGGATCAGATGACCTTTGTTTTAATCCTGATTTTTATACAAGACTTCATGGTTGTGAGAAAATTGCTCTGAGGTCTGTCTGTATCATTTGTTAAAGTTAGTGGTAGGAGGACCTTCCCAATTATAAAATAAACAATATAAACATTGAATAGTTGATGAGAATGACGGACAAAAACAAAAACTAGGACTCAAACGTTTTTGGAAGGGGTGAGATCTGATACAGTGTTAATATGCCTTTACATTTACCCTATTCAGTTGAAGAAGAGGAAGAAGAAGAAGAAGAAGAAGTGGTAGAAGAAGAAGAAACATCTGTGAAGAAGAAGAAGAAAAAGGGTAAAAAGAAGCACATTAAGGAAGAACCACTTTCTGAGGAAGAACCATGTACCAGCACAACAATTCCTGTATGTTTGTTTATAATTATCAGTACTCTCTTGGCATGGGGAGGTCCTCCATATTTTACTATCCTCTGTATCAGAAATGAGCAGGCATTTTAAAAAATGGATTGCATTGATGGGTAGGTAAAAGTAAAATGGCTTTGTTGTATTTGTGTAATAAAAAGCCATTTCCCAAATCTAGACTTTATTACCAAAAATTGAGTTTGCATTGAGGGGAAAAGATTTGCTGAAGCTTACTTTTATAGGTGAGGTTTTTATATCTTGTGTTTTAATCTTTTCCCTGAATTTGTTTTCAAGGGAAACAGATTGATTTTGCATTTTATAAAGAAAAGTGATTACTCACCCATACAATTACAGCTCTTTGAAAGCATTCTTGTTGGCTATTTTCAGAGTCCAGAGAAAAAGAAGAAAAAGAAAAAAAAGAGAGATAATGAGGACTAACAAAGGAATTACAGTTATATCACCTGGATACATCATGCTTAAGATTCCATTGGGAGCATACCAGGGATGCTCTCTAACATAATCAAGGCAAGGTTCAGTGAAACAAAGTGATTTATCATCTGTAACTTCAAACCTTTTTGTGTCTTGACATCAACTCTGTTAACCTTATGTCATCATTTCTTAGAGTCTTTGATAATACAAATAAAATTTTCTTTGTATTTTAAGACAATTTTGTGATCTCTTTATATCTTGGATAGAGAATCTTTGGCTCTTTCTATAGTTGACATCTGATGATTATATTGTTTTGATAAATATAACTGAAAAGTGAGAGTTGTTAATGGACAATTTGAAACTTAATCTTTTGGAAGGCAGTGACTAAGTGGACTAATTCAAGAACCCCAGTCTAATGTGTTTTTCTTGCCTTTTTGAATTACTTTATTTTCTACCTTTTTCTGCCCATTTATTTAAATAAAGATTTGTATCTTACTCAAATTTTAATATTAGATGAGCAACACTTCTTAGTATCTGTTCAGAAGGGTGTGGGGGACAGTATCCCTACCTTTATTTACTTGTTTGCAATTCTAAAAGGCACACCAAAATATTTTTCTTTTTTTTTTTTTGGACAGAGTTTCACTCTTGCCCGGGCTGGAGTGCAATGGCACGATCTCAGTTCACTGCAACCTCCACCTCCCGGGTTCAAGCAATTCTCCTGCCTCAGCCCCCCAAGTATCTAAGATTACAGATGCCTGCTACCATATCCGGCTAATTTTTGTATTTTTAGTAGAGACAGTGTTTCACCATGTGTCCAGGCTGTTTTAAACTACTGACTACAAGCATGAGCCACCATGCCCAGCCCAAAATAGTTCTTAAGACCCTGATTTGTTTAGTGAACCTGAAGTGACATTTTAAAAGGTTGTACAAAGTGATAATAAAGAAAGGAGAATAACAAAAAAAACAAAGTGTCAGTGGGAGTGACATATAAAGCAGGACAATAGAATACCAGTGAACCTGAAGTGACATTTTAAAAGATTGTACAAAGTGATAATAAAGAAAGGAGAATAACAAAAAAAAACAGTGTCAGTGGGAGTGACATATAAAGCAGGACAATAGAATACCAAAGAGAAATCTTTATTTCTGAGTGATCATGTTTAGTATGCAAACAGAAGCCTGGTAGACCACCTTAGTGTCATGACAGTTACGAGTTTCATAGCACTGTTATGTTTTGCCAGTTTGTATATGTCATACACATCATACTGAAGACTAGTAAAAGCTGTTGGTAGATGGAAACTAGAATGACTATGGCTTTTGAGTTCCACCTCTGCTTTTTTTTTTTTTTTTTTTTTTGTAGACAGTCTCATGCTGTCATGTAGGCTGGAATGCACTAGGGCAGTCTCAGTTCACTGCAACTGCTACCTCCTGGGTTCAAGCAATTCTCCTGCCTCAGCCTCCCAAGTAGCTGGGATTACAGGTGCCCACCACCATACCCGGCTAATTTTTTTAATTTTTAGTAGAGCAGGGTTTCACTGTGTTGGCCAGGCTGGTTTCAAACTCCTGATCTCATGATCAGCCTGCCTCAGCTTCCCAAAGTGCTGGGATTACAGGCATGAGCCACCTCACCTGGCCCCACCTCTGCTTTTCAAGGCGACAGCCTCTCTGTGGTTTCCTTATTTGTAAATCACAGATGATGGTCAATTTTACCCCTCCTAATTCATTTGTAGAAAATGAAATGACACACTTTCAGAGATGTTACTAGGTTTCAAATTTAGTTAATTTACTTGAAGTCAATGTTAAAATACATGCAGCCATCCCTAGACAAAGTTATATAATAAAGCCGGTTATCTTGTTCCCAGGAGAACATTGTCATTTTATATCATCCACTTGTACCACAGATTCCTAATTTGGGACAAAACAGACTTTAGTTTATGATCAACTTGATGAAAATGGCCTATCCACCTACCATGAGCTATGTAGTCGAAGGTTAACATCCAAAATGATAGGTTTTTGAGAAACCTAAATAATGAACTTCTAGTTACTTGAATAGTCTTCTGCAGACTTGTAGAAAGCATATTTGAATCACACAGCAGTCAGCTCTCATAAAGACTGAAGGCTTATTTAAAACACTAACCAAAGGGTACGTTTTGGTTCTACTTGGTACTATTGAAGCATTTGTCCTAATAAAAAGCCTTGTGAACTTAGTTTGAAATCGGAAATTTGGGTCAATTTTATATGCCTAGTTTTGATTAGTAAATTTTAAGAATTTCTGTGGCTGCACCACAAAAAATTTCTGCTGAAAACCTACTGATTCTCCACTTCCCTTCAAAAATGTTAATTTCTCTTTTCTGGTTTAAACTCCTGTATCTGTTCATTGCCTTCTGGTTCCTCAGCACGCTTCACAAGGCACTTGAGTGAGCTATCTTCTCTCCAACCTCAGAACGTTATCTGCAGCACTCTGTCTCAGGGCTCTTTTAGAAAGGATTTATTTGCTGCCCATGAAGCATTCTTTGATTCATTTGTTGCTTCTCTATGGTCATTTTCAGACTTGGCTCAGGCTCATCCTTTATCCCAGTTAGGGCCACATGTCTCAAACCCTGACTAGTATACATAGGAATTATCTAGAGACCTTGCTTGATAAAATGCAAATCTGATGCTCTATTAGTGCCACCAGAGCAAAAAAAAATAGCAGATCTGAGGTCTGGGTTGGGGCCCAGAATTTCCTTGTTTTACGCAAACTCAGGTGGTACTAGATGAAGGGTCTGTGTGTATGGTAGCAAAGTACTAGGGTAAATTACTTAAACTCTCAGAACCTGTTTGCCTATCTGAAATTGGATTTCTCTGAGAATTACATGAGATTATGCTTGTGAAGAGGTTTATGTGATGAAGTCAAGATTAACCCCTAGTTACTTGAGACTGAAAAAGGAGGATCACTTGAGTCCAGGAGGTTGAAGCTACAGTGAGCCATGGTTGCACCACAGCACTCCGGCCTGGGCGACAGCAAGACCCTGTCTCTTTAAAAAAAAAAGAGTGCAGTTGACTTTTGAACAATAAGGGGTTGGGGGACTGACCCCTTGTGCAGTCGCAGTTTTGCATATGACTTATGACTACCCCAAAACTTAATAGCCCAGTGTTGACCAAAAGCCTTACCAATAGCAGTCATGATACATTGTTATATGTATTATTCACTGTATTCTTACAATAAGCTAGAGAAAGGCCAGGTGCGGTGGCTCAAGCCTGTAATCCCAGCACTTTGGGAGGCCGAGGCGGGTGCATCATGAGGTCAAGAGATCGAGACCATCCTGGTCAACATGGTGAAACCCCGTCTCTACTAAAAATACAAAAAAGTTAGCTGGGCATGGTGGCGCGTACCTGTAATCTCAGCTACTCAGGAGGCTGAGGCAGGAGAACTGCCTGAACCCAGGAGACGGAGGTTGCAGTGAGCCAAGATCGCACCATTGCACTCCAGCCTGGATAACAACAGTGAAACTCTGTCTCCCAAAAAAAAAAAAAAAGCTAGAGAAAAAATTGAGAAAATACTGTTCATTAAGTGGAAGTGGATGATACAAAGGTGTTCATACTTGTTTTCATGTTGAGTAAGCTGAGAAGAAGAGGTGTTAGTCTTGCTATCTCAGGAGTGGCAGAGGCAGAATAAAATCTGTGTGTGTCAAGGGTCAACGGTAAATTAGAATGATGGTTCCTAAAACAAGTAGGAATTAGAAACACCCGGAGAACTTTTTTTGTTTTTTTTTTTTTTTGAGATGGAGTTTCGCTCTTGTTACCCAGGCTGGAGTGCAATGGCGCAATCTCGGCTCACCGCAACCTCCGCCTCCTGGGTTCAGGCAATTCTCCTGCCTCAGCCTTCTGAGTAGCTGGTATTACAGGCACGCGCCACTATGCCCAGCTAATTTTTTGTATTTTTAGTAGAGGCGTGGTTTCACCATGTTGACCAGGATGGTCTGGATCTCTTGATCTCGTGATCCACCCGCCTCGGCCTCCCAAAGCAGAGAACTTTTTAAACGGTAAGTTTCTGATTTAGTAGGTATAGGGTAGGGCCCAAGACTTTCCATTTGTTAGAGATTCCAGTTGATGGTTGGGGACATCTGGACCACTGTACTGCAAGGACTTCCGTCTATTACCTTGCTTACTCTTATGGTTCTCCAAACCAAAACCTGACTTGCTGGTCAAGAAGTCTAGCCTGTGCATTTTGGCAACATGAAAAGCACTAGAAAACCAGCATCCCAGGCCTCAGTTGTGCTGTTGCACTATGGGTAATTGAAGAGCCCCGGAAGGCTAGACCTCAGGTAAATACTACTCCTACATAGATAATGCAAGGTTGACTAGGTACAAGAAATACAATTATTAGCATTGTTTGCTGGCTATAATAATTTGCTTTTGAAGGGACGAATTTAATTGCTGATACTGCAAGTGTTCTATGT